TTAATGTGTGCTTAAAGATGGAACATTTCATTTCAACCCATAATCAGAGATTATTTGATCTGCTTGTCTAATATTGGAATTGAATGGCATGATGAAAAATAACAGGGAAAATTTCAGGCTTTTATCTTTTTTAGTTCCTGAGATGTTTCTTGCCGTTCGAAAATGGTCGAGCAGAAGGCCACTGATGATTTGAGATGAAATAACCCATTATACTCGACTCCTATAAAGCATAGAAGGGCGGCTGACTTTTGGCTCCAGTTGAGCACACTTGAATTTAACTGCTAAAATAGTGCAGTAAAAACTTCACAACCAGGCAAATGTTATTCATAGAAAATTGTAAAGTAACAAAATATGACAAAAAATAGCATTGCCATTTGTTTATAAATTTGAATACAAAATAGTTGGAGAAGGAGAACAGCTTCATATTTAAACCTTTAAATGTGACATATCATCAGTGTCAGGGGAACTTTTGCTTTGCTCATTATCTGTTCATGCTGTGCGTTTAAATCTTTATGTGACTCAAACAGAACGTTTGACAGAACGTGTTGTGAGGTGAGTGATAAAACAATTTTGACTCTCAGTTGCTGATTAATTCAGAAGTTGTTTGCGCGGGTGGAGCTGTTTGTGTCATTAGTTGCTTTTTTCTTTTTGGTCTTACTGTGTGTGTCTTTATGTGTGTGTATGTAAGTGTAACATCATTACCTCTGCTCTGATTCCCCTGATTTTATCAACAGCAGCTCCTGGGTTTCATATTCCTTGTACTAATGCCATTGACCATCAAAGACGGCTAAAGTAAAACACTGGATGTTCCTTGTTTGTCACACATCCTCTCTGATGTTAATTCACTTTGCCTGCTGCACGCATATCTCACCGAGAGACAGATCAGTTCGCTGTGCCTGCATGGGCTTGTTCTTGGTACATCAGAGGAAACTTAAACCTTGTAAAATAAAGCAGCTCATGTAAAACGTTTTATTGATGTTTGCGGTTTTGGGCCATATTTGTTCTAGACTCCCTTTATTTGTTGGCATTTTCCTGGATCTGCTTCACTTATGTGATATTGTTTAAAACTTTCATCATCCCAGTGGAAAATTTTATGATGTTTGTATTCTATTGTTGTAAAGTTATTTTCCAACTCTCATTTACTTAGTTATACTTTCACCTTGGATTGTTTATTATTACGGTCACCTCAGAGTGTATTATAACACATATAGCACGGCCACCTTAACCAATGTCGACAGTGAATTGCTTTTTATTTTTAAAGGTCTTCACTCTGAATTGACACATACCAGCCACTCAAAAATCTTTTCCCACTACCACATTTTTTTTTGTAACTGGGTGGCAATGTTGCACGTGCTTGATTCTGTGAAGCATTTATCGCTCATCAGCTTCTTCACCAACATCAGCTCTTATAAACCAGAGAAGGGCGTCTGACTTGTTGACTGCAGTTCAACTGAGCCAACCTTGATTTCACTGATAAAATGAGGCAGTAAAACTTTACAACTAAGCAAATGTTATTCATTGTAAACTGTAATGTATAATATATGCAGGACGAATAAGGCTGTGGTGTTTCTACATTTTCCACATGTAAGAAAAAACAACAACTCTAATACAGGTGCTGTTTGCGACATATATGCTTCATTTATACTTACCTACACACCTCATCTGAGTGCTCTCCTTTTTACACAGCATGGTGCATTCCCTGTTTTAGTAGCGACGGTACATTAAGATGAGCTTAAGGGTCTGTTTCTTGTCGCTATTTTTAATGGATGTGTCAGGAAGAACAGTGTCTGAGGAACAGATGATAGTGACACAACAGCAATATCACAAATGTATGAGTGCAGTTCATACTATAACACTATTCTGGGCATAAGTAATGATGCTTTCACAACAGATTTACATGCAAAACCTTCAAAAGAATTATTATCTACACTGTGATGTATATACAGGTAAAAATGTTTTTCGTTTAATAAAATGTTGCACTGTTGCTTTGACCTTTACCACAACAAAAGACAATACTGGAGCTGCACTGCTCCGAATCCAATACGTTATAGTCATATACACTGACGAGCCACAACATTAAAACCGGGTATCTTGTTACAATACAATCTTTTGTTGAACTTGAGTCATTTGTGTGGAGGTGCTTTTAGAAGTACCGCCCACCTAAACATTGTTGTCGACCACAGCACTCCTCTGCTCCAGCAGCCTCCTGCAGCAGGAGAACATGCCCTGTCACAACCCTGAAACTGCTCAGGAACTGCTCAAGAAACACGACCAAGAGCTCAAAGTGTTGATTCCAAACTCCCCTGATCTCATTCTGACTGAGCATCTGTATGGTGCACTGCAACAATGTCCTCTTATTTGACACCACAGATGTTCTGTGTCAATACACCAACAAGTCAAAGCTGTTTTGGTTGGATGAGGGGGACTTACATAACAGTAGGTCGGTGTACATCCTTATTTCCTATTAATGATCTTTTCTGGAGAGACACATAAAACATTTTTTTGTTTTGTTTTTCATCTGTTAAATTTTATATTTGTAATAATCTTATAATTGTTTTATTTCTTCTTTTTTTTGTGAAAATATGAAGATACACAACAGGATTTTGCATCAAAATAAACAAAAAACATTTTTTTTGGTAAGAGAACTGAAATATATTAGCAAATAAATAGATTCAAAATGCCTAGATTCATAGATCAGATTTTTTTATTTATTTCTTTTTTTTCTTTTTTTTTTTTCCTCACGTGTCCGGTCCAGCATCATAGCAAGCAGAATGATGACCTGAATGCTGTGTTGTGCTGAACAGATTTACTTAGATACATAGATTAGATTTTAAGTTAAAGTTTAAAAACATCACCAATGAGGTCATCTTGTTTGTCACTTGGGCAAACATAGTCACAATAAATACACATAAAAAGCTAAAAAACGATAAGCAACATAAGAGCAAATGAACACAGTTTAAAGAGCTATGTTGATGACCTTTAAAAATAGGCCAAAACATAGACAAACTTTTGAATATTTATATGTGCAGACTTTGAAAAGGTCTTAAATACATTCAGCTAATGAGTGAATACCTCCCTGTTGTGCTTTATATATATATATATATATATATATATATATGTTATATATTTATATATTAATTACCTTTTGTTTCACCAATACTAAATAAATGAGTTTATACTGAAACGCATTTTCTTTTCCGTCACTCTGCATCTGCTGTCTGTCTTTCTTAAAAGACTTGAATTGCTGACAGCCTTAGTTTAAAATTCCTGTAGAACAATTTGAGACCCTGCTGCTAATCCTCTTTTGATCGACCTTTGGGTCCTGATCCAGTCTTTACAAATCATTTGCTGTAAACCAGTTTGCTTGCTTTGTTTTAAAGACAATCACAGCTTTCTTTTTTTCTTCTGGCAAACCTTATTGCCTTCGTTTCCACTGGTTACTTGCTAAAAAGGTTTGTGTTATAGAGAAAAGTTGAGGGCAAACTCACCTCTTTACGAGTGTGTCATGGTTTAGTTTCACTTTTATGTTGGGATGTCTTTTACATTGCTGACTTGGCTGCTGGATGAGAATGTAACGGACAAGTTGTGCTCGCTAACACACAAACTCAGACATGCTGCACTTTTACACTGACAACAGAAAGTAATGCTTTAGGAACTGATTGTACTTCTTGTTTCCTGTCCATGCTTTTAGCAGTTATATAGGTTGGTGCAATGGAAATGTAGCATGACGTTGATGGCTGACTAGATGTAGCAACACTACACTGGAGAACATTTCATCAAGCGATGCTGCTGCATCACAAGACTTAGTGAAAGGCTACAGACGTGAGGATATAAAGTATATTGGCATTTGAGAAATAGTAAGTAGGAACATGCATATTTTGTTTTTAAAGTTTAGCTGTGATGTAAACTGTGCATACATTTTTAAGAGTGCTGTTCAAATCAAGTGATCCGACTAGACTGAATCATTGTAGGTACTTTAGTTTCAATATATGGGGTTTTACACTATATGTGCTGTATTTAACTCTGTGCTGCTGATCTTTAGATATTGACAAAACATCTGCCTATCCTTCCAGATGATTCTTTGTAGAGGTTTCCATATATTCACTGACCTACCAGTAAGATGCTTTCTATGGACATCTGAGAAAATGAGAAGAAACTGAAGTTGTTTTCTGTTGGTTTTTTGATGCTCTACTCCTTAATTGTCAAGGAAAGAAAAAAATACTTTTGTTCTTGTTTACTGCCACAGAAGGTACATAAATGTAACATTAACATGAAAAATCCCCTCTTCAGCTCGCTGCCCCAGTATATTTTTTTCCTCTTTGTCAGTTTCTCATTATGCTGCCGTTCGCTTGTAGCATTCAGGAAGCGGTTAACCTTGATGGAGGATGGTAAGCAGAAAGAGGTTTACAACAGCTTACAAAGCAAATGGAAAATCGAGACTGCAACATATGCTCAGTCATTTAGTTAAAAATTGAAAAATTGACCTTCACTCTTGTGGAGGTACATTTGTCCCTATTCCTAAAGCGTTAACGTCATCATCTTTTTGGAGTAAAAATCATGCAAGAAAATGGAGGAAAATTGACCGCGGAGTGAAACATTGCTTTCGCTTTTGTCTCACCTGATGTTAACCTCAGAGCCCGATCAGATTTTCTTCTCACAGCAGACTAAAACAAGCAATCTGACAACTATAAAACAGTTGCTTGGTGTTTGCTGCATGGTATCTTAAACTTGGATCTGTCTAATTGGGCCACCAAAATGCAACTCTGTGCACTTTGCTGTTGTGCTTCAGACCAGTGCTCACTTTAAAATGGCAGTGCCTCCCGAGAGACTTTATTTTACAGCCTCTCTAACCTCCAGTACAGAGTTTACTAGAAATGTTGCTTTGCATCAGACAACTGCAGCATTTTATTTACTGATGTTTTTATTATTAAAGGTCCACCTGGTAAAAGTTTGTGGCTGATATTTTTATAAATGGCTTCTCTCTCTGTCTCCTTTCTCAGGCTGTTTTTATTACTGCTGAAAGGATGATCATGACGATAATGGGAGGAGGCCGCGGCCGAAGGTGCTGCCCTCGCTAGAATCCTAATTCCCCCTCAAGTCACCCCTCCGCCATCACCCACAACTGCTGTTTATCCCTCCGGCACCATGGCAAACCACCTGGAGCTGATCCAAGAGCTGCAGCAGCTGGACAAGGTGCCCAGCCTGGAAAGGCTACGGGCGGCCCAGAAGAGGCGAACCCAGCAGCTGAAGAGGTGGGCTGTGTATGAGAAGGAGATGCAAAACAAGAAGCGAAAGGCAGACAAGAAGGGACGCAATGCCAACAACCTCCAGCAACCAGAGTTGAAGAGGCATGTGTCGTTTGCTGCCAGTGTGGCTCTTCTGGAGGCATCGGCCAGGAATGATCCAGATGAAGGTAAGAGCAGCACAGAGTATTTATGATCAATGTGCACTCAACACTTATGACCGATTGACAAATTAGATACAACCAGCCAGGATCTTTTATTGTTGTAGTACTGCTGCACGTAAAAATTGTGTGCTGGGATTTTGTTTGTTAGCTCTGACAGGTGGAGTCTGCAGTTCTGGAGAAAGATTGTTGATTTTTAGCTAGTTAGCATTTCCCTCTTGCTAGCACGTCCACCCGTCTCACATCCCCCTGTGTACCACCATGATCATGCACATGATACGCTGGAATAGTGTTATGTGTATCAACCTGAGCTACTTCTGTTGTTTACCACTTACAGAGCCAGGGCTGCAGGAACACCAGATTTTTTTCCGTTGCACACACAGAGCTGACAGCTAGCAGATTATGAGGACACACCAGCTGGATCTGACAAAAGGGGCATCGCTCTAGAATTGCATACTCCACCTTTAAACCCAACACAAAGCCATATTTGAATAATGAGTCTAATTTCAGCCTCACCTATGGACTTCTGCCAGATATCAAAATGCCAAGGTCAGAGTAACGATTAGCTGGGTCTGCCCACTTAAACTGCTGGTGGAAGTCACTCCATACGAATTGAATTTGTTCTGCTTAGAGACTGTATTATCATTGGGAAATAATGGAGTTGTCACAGTGAGATGAAACTCTGCCAGTCTTTTAATTAAAATTTCTACGGATGGTGCCTCACTACTCGGAGATAATAATTGTTTTCCTGCAATTCAGACAGTCCCATGATGCTGTGTCGCTGCTAAAAATGTGTGTGTGAGATGGTGGAATTATAACAGACTGCTATCTTTTAGATAAGTCATCTAATTTACCGTCACTTTAACCTGAAAGTGGATTGAACTTTTTCTGTCCTGACAAATACAGCCTATGGCATTGCTACTGTACATTCTTTGCTTGTGCAAGCTGTCTTCACAGATAGGAAAACTGCCACCGGGCTGATGTATCTTCACATTGACTCTTACAGAGCAGGAGCAGATCTGCACTGCGTATGCACGCTTACACGTGCACACATATGCACATGCACATGGGCTGCGAACTGACACATACAAGCTACAGCTGGAGTCAGGGACACTGGAAGTCTTGGGATTTGTGATGTCTGGATGGCCTGTTGGATTTTACCATGATGTGTAGCCTAAATAAAGTTTTGATATAATCAGTGTGCTATAAAAGGATGTTACCTATTTGGATAAAAAAGAAAACCTTTTCCCACTCTGTTCCACTGCTGATTCTTCTGGTGTAATGTGAGTTAGGTTTGAAATGTTTTGGATGACATTTAAAGTTTTTTAGTTGTTGTACAATGTTTGTGTTGTGTATAATTCCCCGAAGCTCTTAGACTGAACCGGGAAGTTGTGGCTGATCATTTAAGTGTTTAGATTGGTTTGAAAAACCACAGGAGGACACGAAGAACGTGGAACATCTACTCAATAATACATGTTCTCATTCATGGATGGTTTAACAAGAAAACATGAGTGTCTATTTGTGGTTTAGGCATTAAGACATTAGTTGTGGTGTAAGTGTCAAAGGGCAGCTTTTGTGTGCAGTTTACCCACTTTTAGAGAACAGTCAAAATAGAAAGGGCAACAGACTGGCCTCTGTCTAGTCGATGGTAAGACTTTTTTCATCTGAAAGAAATTTCATCTTTTTCAACCAAACAAAAATTATTTCTACAAAGTTTGAAGGCCATCTGTCTTTGAGTGTACATATTTGATGAAAATAATTTTCATGATTTATACAACTGCCTCAACAGGGCTCTGGGCTGCAGCCTTGGTTGAACAACATTGCTTTTCTGTGTATGTGCAGGATTTTGGAGGAGATCTTAAAACAGGATGAATTGTAGTTACAGCACATAAAATGTTTTACATTTTTTATCTATGCTAGCGGGACAAAATTCCATGAAATTTTGTACAGACATTCATGATTGGAGGATAAATTCAAATGATTTTGACAGTCCTCACACTTTTACTGTAGCGCAACAATGAGGTTGGTGTTTGGTTTCAGTTTTTGAAACATCTCAACAACAATTTGATAGATTAACAAGCAATTTCATACACATGTCCTTTAGAATAAATTACAGTAATGTCAGCATAAATATGTTTGCTTTCTGATGCGTGACCCTACAGTTGAATCAACACCTCCTATATTATTTACCAACTCTGAACATTATAACCTTCATGGAGGGAGGATTTATTACAGACCTGTTGTATCAGAAGGTGTTAGTTTTAGCGAGGTGTACCCTATTTAAGATGATCAGTAAGTAATTAGTTTCATCTCTTGTTTGCGGAAGTCGTTCTTTGCTTGTCACCATTAGTCTGTTCATACTCCGTGTTATTTAGTTTTGGGCCTTTTCTGCTGGCATTGATAGGTAGTGAAGGGAGAGAGGAAATATAGAAGAGAGAACAGGACAGTGACATGCAGAAAATGGTCCAGCAGGTTGGCATTTGACCCAAGAACTTGCTGCTCACACTTCAAAAAGTACCTCAAGGGACCTATTCTCACTACTTAATTAAATCCATAGTTGCAAGATGGTAAAATAGTCTTACTTACTGATTTAAAGACACTATTTAAGTTGCAAACATTATTTTGATAGGTTTGGCTGACATAATAATGTTTGTAATTGTGTCAGTTTAACTCAAATTTCTGTGTTAGTTGATGAAAAAATAAATTGAAGTTGAGACAATTTAATGAACTTGGCTTGATAATGTAACTTTTCTCCAACTTGAGTTTAGGATTTCAAATCTCTTCCCCTGTCTTAACATGCCTGGACAATTTCTGGAGGTTAAGACTGGTAATTATGGATCCAAAATTTGAACTATTTTCTCAAACACAAGTTGGCAGCTTTATCCACCAATGATTGATTGTTGACTAAGGTATATTGAACTTAATGGACATTATTCGATGTCCTAATGAAACTGCTTTGAACACAGTCGCATGACATGAGCTGCTCTATTGGTGTAGACAATCAGCCACGAGTTCTTCATGATGCTGTCACAGCATGCTTCAGCTCACGTACAACATTAGAGCTGTGGCTGGTAGACATGAAGCATCCAAGGAGACTTTCTCATGGTGGCCCTTTACTAGCTACACTCCCATAATGGTCTCTGCTTGCCAACATGAAACTGCTGCTAGTCCAAATGACCGCCTCCTCAGGTTGCTACAGAGTTGAACACATACAGTCCTCAGCTAAACAGAGGCTCCACCTGGTGGTGCAACCAGGTACTACAGCGAATCTACACTACATTTTTTGGCATGCATGTTCTTCATCCTCTGCATTGAAGGTTAATACATATTGAATTTAAATTAAAAGTTAAATCATTAACGACAAGTAATCAGTTATTCATTGACATTCCTCACATTCCCCAATGTAGTTTGATGGATAAACATAATTTCATTAAAAGTGTCATAAAAAAGACGGCTGTGAAACTGTTATGTTATTTATTTAATTTTTTAGATTTTTGATAACCCCTAGCATAATTTTTCAGAGTGCAGGACATCAGCTCCCATGTGCGACCTCACCACTAGACTATTAGGTCGCCCCTCCACTTCATGTCATTTTCACAGATCATGATAAATATGCTGTCCTTTGTGTCTCACTGTGCAACACTGGACACATTGAGAGCTGATTTGTTTTTGCTTTGTTTTCAGTGTTTCTGATGTGCAGAGGCTTTGTCAGTTCTCCTCGCTACTGACAGTGCCCGAGCACAGAAACATTCGCTATCACTGCTGTTTAATGAGGGTGACCATGAAAGAGGCAGGGAGATAAAAAGAAAAGGGAGACAGGATGTAGAGTTGCCCACACGGCTCCAGTGGCAGCTGGATAGCTCAGGAGTCTGATAATCTCCTCTCTCATTCCCTCTGGTTCCCAAATGCTCGATCAGGCGTCATGACTCCACATGCTATACTGCTCCAGCACACTACTCACAGGCTGTGGGCTTCTTTGACAGAAATATTACGTGACAGTGTCATGGATTCTCTTGTATGGTCATTCCTAATAGGGTTATGCAAACAAGAGAAAATAAAATAAAATGTGGAAGTGAGTTTGAGCATCTCTGACAGAAACAGAAAATAAAATGCATTTTCAGGTGTCAGAACTGTTTATTTGACAAAAGTTAATCCACCAATCTGCCAAAACAACGACTCGTAAAAGCAACCAAGCAATAATGGAGCCACCCATTACCTCTTTTTCATGAAGAGAATGGAAGTGGGAGATTGAAGTTAAAACAACAGCAGAGAGATACTGAGATTGACGTTGACCTGAGGCTGACTCTGCTGGCCTCGAGGCCATAATAAGATGAGAGGTTGGATTGGCTGGACTGACTTCTCGGTAATCCCTTATTGGTTGGAGTCGGCGAGTTGCTTGTTCTGATTCTTTCCCTGCTAATTTTTTTCTCTGTGGTTGCACTCAGAGCATCAGTGGGTCGACCGGAGGCAATGTATGTGACCACATGCTGAAAAATATTTGTGTGATTTTTGGTGCGCATGCTTTTTTAAGTGGAGGATTTGATATTTTTCTGTACTTTGTAAGCTTTACTGTATCTTAAACAGTAACAAGAAAGACTGGAAAATCTGCGCACGTGCAGGTGTGCATGTCTAACGCTTGTGTTTAAGCATATATATTTGTGTGTGAGTGTCCTCTGTGAACTACTGTGCTCCTGTTATTATAGCTTCCTCTCTGCACACTCACCAGGCCGCAAGGAGACACGGATATATAGTAAAGCTGCAGAGGACACATTGTGAACCCGAGCTGTGTGTCTTTGTGCGAATGTGTTTGTGTAGCCGTGACAGGGAAAGTTTTCATCTGAATATCTCAGTTTCCTTGAATGTAAATAAACTTTTCAGTGTGTTTCTCCGGTGGGAAAATAGGTCTCTGTGTGAGCTTGTCTAAGGGGATATGGAAGCAGAGAACAGTGTATAGGAGAGGACTGGATGGAAAAGGGATGCATCCTGGGTGTGAGCCCATTACTTCGCCC